ATTTAGAAGCCTGAAAAAAGAATATTTTTGGTCAATAACTGTGAACTTATTTTTTATTTTTATTGTTTTTTTAGTGCATGAGTTTTGATGGACTACGAACTTGACCATGAATACGAGAAAAGTAAACATGAAGACCCCATAAGTAATAGAAATCTCAGATTTCATAATATTTCCTAAAAAATGCGATAACGTAAAGGAAAAATTGCAAGACAGGTAATTTATCTATGAATGATAGTCACAACATGGTAAACAAAGAACACAATACCTGTGTAAAAAATCTATAAAAAAAATTAAATTAATTTTTTTTTTTTAAAAATGTATACTAAATATGCATACTGAATTGATAGCAGAGAGAGAGTGGTTGAGAGATGACTATCAGTTTCACTTGCCTACAAAATGAACATACTAAATATGCACTAGTTCATTTTGATGACAGGAAAATATTACAAAAAAAAAATAAATAAAAAAAAAGAAAAAGAAGAAGAAGAGGAAGAAAGAAGACAATGCAAAGCTTTGTCCTTGGATGAAAAAACCATTGCGAATTGAGAAGAAATAATATGTTGATGTCTGGAAAATATTATGACCGTAGTGGCAGCATATCCTAAAACTTTATTGGGTCAAAAAAGCTTCCTCAAGTTGCTCTTTGAAAGCAGTCTTGGAAACATAAGGGACAATCACTGCAAAGCGAAAATATATATATATATATATGGAAACGAGATAGAAACGCCTACACAATAACTTTCAAAAAAAAAAAAAGAAAAAAAGAACAAGGCACGACATGAAAGGGACATGACAACAAATCACACAGTTTAAAAAAAAAAGAAAAGACATGGTGTTCGAGTTTACTTTGGGAACAATCACACATTTCATCAGGACCAACATACCCTCCTATTTGATTAGACTAAATACTTTCGAGTACAACATTTGAAAATTGAAAACTGAACAATAAATTTGTCTATCAAGATTATAAATGAAAATCATGTTCCTCCAAGATAATTGAACATTCAGTGACAAATCAAGTCTAACTAAAATTTTAGGACCTTTTTAACAGAATTTCCAATTGTGGCTGCTGAATAGAAGCCTTAGAAGTACACAAACTTGATTGCTTAGTCGTGTTAACAAAAAACCTGTTCCTTTCATCATTGTAAAATTCAAAATTTTTTTTGAAAACTCTGCACCAGGGTGAGCAACAAACATGAATTTGGAGACTCAATGCCTAATCCATCTATGCTTGATGTTTTGGCCTTAGGCTCTAGTGCCCCAAATTTGTGCTAGTAGTTACATTTGTGTCTAAAAACTTAATCCTACGTCAGTTTGTGACTTCAAATTCCCCAGCCATGACTTTCATGCTGATTTGATGCCAATAGACCAATCATCTACATAACATAGTAATTAAAGTGAAGTTCAGAATCTCTAGATTGACAGTCACAGATTCAGTATTTTCACCAAACTAGAGACTCCCTTTCACACTAAACGCAAATTAACAGCCTAAAAAATTTAAAACGTAAGCCCATGATCCTTTTAACCATAAAATAATGTGAAATATATTACGAACTAGTTTATTCAATATCATTAAAAGAGAACAGTTACAAAAAACACCACCGATAAAATCCACAACATTCTGAAATCCTCATAGAGGTTGGTATTATCCCTTTCTTTCGAAACACACTTTCAGAAGGGAGTTCACTATTCTTGAAATAGATGCACCAAGGGTCATAGTAGTTTTATTGGGCTTGTCAAGAAGAATACAAAAGAAATAATAGCCAACAGTTTCACTTGCCAAGGGCAATGGAGAATAGTGGTTCACTCAAATAAGCAATCTAAGCATTACTTACTGCTTATTTCAGAAGAAATAAAGATTAAAAAAATAGTGCGAAATATAGTTTAGTCAAAGTTTTCACTCGGCAGCAAAACTAGGTTAGGTGAAGCATAGTAGATAAATAGTTTAAGAAAGTATTCAACAGCCTCCAAATAATGAAATAAAATATTCAGGAAATGAATTAATTTGTAATTCTCTAAGATTGGAAGAAGTGAGTCTTCTTATTAAGCCTCTGCACATGAAAATCAAGAGTTTAACAACTCTACAAATAAAACTCACATACAGAAGAACATAATTATCAAATTTATGTGTGAGATCCATGCATGAAGAAGCCAATAGTAGAAAGCCTTTGCTTCTAAGACGACAACAACTATACATCAAACAGCAAGTTCTAACTATTGTTGTATAGGGGAAAAAAATTCCATAAAATTGAAAACAAAAAATATTGCCAAGGCCATATAATTATTAACAAAACCTTAGACATCAACCATGGATTCACACCACTCACAGTTGTAGTATAACACAACCACTACAAAGCAACCAACAACACAACTACTACATGCAACCACTGATGAGCTTAGCAAAAACAACATTAACAGCTTCCTCTAGATCAGCAGGCTACCCACAGATTAGATCGGCAACTATCAGATTAGTTCAGCTTCTTAGCCACTAACAACAGACTACCAACAGATTAGTTCAGCAATCACACCCTCTTAATAGTCACCATAACCTACCAGAATCTATGCTTGATGTTTTGGCCTTAGGCTCTAGTGCCCCAAATTTGTGCTAGTAGTTACATTTGTGTCTAAAAACTTAATCCTACGTCAGTTTGTGACTTCAAATTCCCCAGCCATGACTTTCATGCTGATTTGATGCCAATAGACCGATCATCTACATAACATAGTAATCAAAGTGAAGTTCAAAATCTCTCGATTGAAAGTCACAGATTCAGTATTTTCACCAAACTAGAGACTCCCTTTCACACTAAACGCAAATTAACAGCCTAAAAAGTTCAAACTTAAGCCCATGATCCTTTTAACCACAAAATAATGTGAAATATATTACGAACTAGTTTATTCAATATCATTAAAAGAGAACAGTTACAAAAAAAACCACCGATAAAATCCACAACATTCTGAAATCCTCATAGAGGTTGGTATTATCCCTTTCTTTCAAAACACACTTTCAGAAGGGAGTTCACTATTCTTGAAATAGATGCACCAAGGGTCATAGTAGTTTTGTTGGGCTTGTCAAGAAGAATACAAAAGAAATAATAGCCAACAGTTTCACTTACCAAGGGCAATGGAGAACAGTGGTTCACTCAAATAAGCAATCTAAGCATTACTTACTGCTTATTTCAGAAGAAATAAAGATTAAAAAAATAGTGCGAAATATAGTTTAGTCAAAGTTTTCACTCGGCAGCAAAACTAGGTTAGGTGAAGCATAACAGATAAATAGTTTAAGAAAGTATTCAGCAGCCTCCAAAGAATGAAATAAAATATTCTGGAAATGAATTAATTTGTAATTCTCTAAGATTGGAAGAAGTGAGTCTTCTTATTAAGCCTCTGCACATGAAAATCAAGAGTTTAACAACTCTACAAATAAAACTCACATACAGAAGAACATAATTATCAAGAAGTGTGTGAGATCCATGCATGAAGAAGCCAATAGTAGAAAGCCTTCGCTTCTAAGACGACAACAACTATACATCAAACAGCAAGTTCTAACTATTGCTGTATAGGGGGAAAAAATTCCATAAAATTGAAAACAAAAAATATTGCCAAGGCCATATAATTATTAACAAAACCTTAGACATCAACCATGGATTCACACCACTCACAGTTGTAGTATAACACAACCACTACAAAGCAACCAACAACACAACCACTACATGCAGCCACTGATGAGCTTAGCAAAAACAACATTAACAGCTTCCTCTAGATCAGCAAGCTACCCACAGATTAGATCGGCAACTATCAGATTAGTTCAACTTCTTAGCCACTAACAGCAGACTACCAACAGATTAGTTCAGCAATCACACCCTCTTAATAGTCACCATAACCTACCAAACTAGCACCAAGATATTAGCACAAGGACTGATAGCAGACGAACAGATCAGCAAGCCAAATAGACTAAAAGATAGTTCAATCAAGACTAACCAGCCACAGAACACCAGATCACCAGATAGTTCAACAACAGATCATCAGACCTTTAACTAGCAAACAGAACAACACCTAAAAACTGTAGCATAACAGAGCTGCTCTGCCTCCAGCTCAATGGGCTCATCACAACTCATTGCATCAGTGCTCCTCTACAGCACAATCTGATCTGGCTTATATTACAGATGAAATAAAGGATTGAGAAATTAAAATCCTTTAGGTGTGGATTCAACTACAGTGTATCCTAGTCTAAATCTCATACTTTTTATACTAAGGTTAGAGCAGTCCAGAAAAGTTATTTTCTTGAACGATTCATTAATAATTATATTTAAAATATAATCCCCTCTTCCCCTTTGATATAAAGTACTCAGTAAGATAACTTTTAAAATATTATTATCATATGATCCTTCTAGAGTATCAATGAAACACAATTCATTAATAATTATAATCCCCTCTTCCCCTTTGATATACATAACATTTTTTTTAATTTAGTATAAATCTATATCATTCTTTATGAAATTACAAAATTAAATAAATCTATACCATTCTATATATATATATATATAACATTTAATAACTATAGGTATTCCAAACATTGAATCTAACTATCTTCCTAAACATTGAATCTAACTTGTCTTCCCAAACATTGAATATAAAGTATAGTAATATTAATTGGGACATTAATGTCAAAAAAGCAAAGAACCTATAAATAGAAATACCTGCACAATATTTCAACCTCTAACGGTACATACATGAAAAATAATCAAACCCAAGTTTTTTATTTTTTATTTTTTTTCTCTTTTCAAATAAACTGACTGAAAGCACATGATGTATTGTTGAGCTTTTCAAATAAAATGTTATGTGTAACATCAGTTGTATGTGGATTCATTCTTAGACATTCATATGAACCTATCAACTGATGTGTCAACTGATGTGTAAAATCCACAAGGGTTGAATCAACATCCTAATATATGGTGAAAAAACGCCAGAGGGCTATAAGAACAATCATTCATAGTATTGTATGACAAATGGCATTAGTGCAAACTCAATACAGTGCTCATAATTCCTTAACACCCTATAATTTAGTTGTTTCTCTGCCCTACGATTCCTGAGGTGGTACCATGATTACCATTATGAATCAGAGGGTCAGAATGGCAATCTAATAGGTAAAACTGTTGTGGAACGAGATATGCAGAGTTTTACTATGCATGACAAGCTTTCATAACCAACAAACAAAACAAACTCCCATCCTACATGCACATGAAAAGTGCACTTCTTCCATAATCCACACATACTATGAAAGAAATTAAATCATACCCGGACAGCTTGTACAACAGCCCCTTTTGTTGCAGGATCAGCAACAGTCCAACTTTTAACGCCTTGAATGGGGCACATCCTCCTAATCTGAATGCCAATCTCATTAGCTCCTGGGGTCGCTAGCACCCCTTCGAATGCATTGAATGTCTCAGTGATTGGAATGTAGAGCTTGTTCCCATTATTGTTGGCAACTCTTTTTGTTGTTGCTTTTCCAACTGTTGGTCCCCGCACTCGCCTTGATGAAGATGCACCTACATATTTGATAATGTTATTAGTGTATTTACTAATGTAAAAATATAAACAATGGATACATTGAAGGTAGATGAAACATATTTAATTACCTGCGCCACTTGTTTGACTTTGAGGAGATGGTGCCTGCGTTTCAGACAGAGATGCTTCACAAATCTCAAATCCATGTGGTGCATTAGTTTGAGACGGCGTTGGTGCAATAGTCTCAGATCCTGACAACACATTAATTTGAGACAGAGATGGTCCAATAGGCTCAAATCCATCTGCTGCAAGACCTTCCGGATAAGGTGTACATGTATCGGTCGAGGGTGAGTAGGGTTCAAGTAATGCCCTCTTCGATGGTGGTAAATGGTGCATCTTCTTTGCATGAGCCATTCTGTTACATTTTAACATAATCAAACGAGAAGTACACAATGAGCACATGTATAAGCACAAATTTTTAATGTGAACACATACATATACGTCAACAGTAATAATTAACAAATAAAATAACTAAGAAATGAACATCCATGAAAATCTTAATTTCATACATATATATTAATCCATCTACATAAATTTGCAAGTGATATTGATGACATATTAAATTTTTTTGGTTTTTGATCGGCAAAAAGAAGACTTTATTGATGAAATATATGAATAAGTACATCAATAAAGAGGAGCTTGGATCTATAACAAGCTCTAACCTCCTAGTTGGTGAGAGACCAACACGCAAGGCAAACAAAGCAAATAAAGCCAGGAAATCTAGAAATATTAGGCACTACAGCACTGCTATGAATAAAAACCAGATGAGGCACTACAGCAGCCCTTCCAAGCACCAAAACAGATCACCAAAATAGAACAGGCAGAGAAGACAACCACTGCCTTGAACTATAGCAGCCCTACATCCACTCCAAGCACCAAGATTGTTTAAGCCAACACAACAACAAAACAGATACACAACCATGAGCAAAGCAAAGCAAAACAAATTAGTCACCACAGATCAACACATCAGCAAAAATAGAACAGGAACTATAGACAGCCAGCCCTTCAGTTATGTACACTACAGCAGACAGACAGAACAGGCACTATAGCAGACACACAGCACAGAACACACTCTAAATCAAATGCACCAGAACAAAACAACAACCAGAGCAGCAATTCACAAGTTAATATTAGACCAAACTCTCCAACTAAATGGACAGCACAACAGCAACATATATAACAAGAAGTGTTGTAGCATGTCCTCAAACAGTATGTATTAAATACATCAAGGTTCTATGTCACGATTTATATAGTTAAACAATGTCAAATTCATTTTCTTCTTTCTTATCATCGTCCTCAATGAAGTCATCTTCGTCGGTATCACAAATGAAAGCATCAGCAACACCCTCGACTTGTGTTTGACTATGGGATTGTGAAACCATTGCATTTGGAATAATTTCACCTTCACTATCATCTCTACACAAAACCCCTTGATCGCCACCGCCTTCAACTTGCATACCGTTTCCGTCCACAATTGGTATAACCTTGGTGGTTTCATTTTGTTGGAACACACTATTTAGCGCATCATCAGGTAAACCATCCATCTCTGGCACATTCCATATTCCTCGATGGTGGAATCATTCTACAACTTTCCAATTCCCACCTAATTTGGTATCATTAACGTAGAATACTTGTTCTACTTGAGCTGGGAATACAAAGGGGTCATGTGCATACCATCGACTTTTTACATCGACACTTGTGACATGTGTATCCGTGAGACAAGTCTTCTTGCTACCAGTGTTATACCATTCACATTGGTACAAAACAACTCGATGTCTAAACAAATATGTCATTTCCCACACTTTTCTCAAGTAACCGTAGAAACGCATTGAATGACCCTCGTGATCCCCTTCTACAACCAGCCCACTATTTTGAGTTTTACGATGGTTATCACGGTCGATGGTATGAAATCGAACACCATTAGAAATGCATCCTGAATATGTGTTGACTATTGCACTAGGACTGTTGGCCAATGACCACAATTCATCCGTTGCTTCCGACGACACTTGATTCCGCAACTGATTTATCTACATAAGCAATACGTGTTATGTTACTTTGTTCAAGTTGGTTATAGCATAATGTGCTCACATGTTGGATAGATAGGTATGTCTTACACGTTCTTTGAACCACATAGGAAATTCATCCCGTTGCCTCTCTGTGGTGTCACATGTACTTCCATTTTGCAAAATGTTCTTGTGTTCCCTAATTAATAAGAATAGTAGATAAGTAAGACATATGATTACGAATAATCAGACAATACGTGTTATGGAGAATTTAACTTTTTTGAGGCCTGAAAACATACTGTAGATATTGTTCCACGTCAAAGTTATTGTATAAGACAAACCACTGAGCCATCTCTCGTTCATGGAGAGGCACATCTGGTGCCCTACTGATTAGACCAAATGGACGAACTTTTTTAGAGAAGATGGCTAACCCCAAGCCGTGATCACCACCGTCATCATTCCTTTCTTCTCGATTAAACACTGTTTCAAATCCATCAAGATACATCGAGCAGAAAGTTGTACACTCTTTGGAAATGTACGCCTCCGCAATTGATCCTTCAGGATGAGCTTTATTGGCAACAAATCCTTTTAGCATTCCAAGTAGCCTACAAGAGAAATTTTTTTTACTATGTCCATACTACATTGCCAAAATATAGACAACCATTAAAGGTTGATGACAGTGATATGGTAAGAGCATAAATAATTACCGTTCAATTGGGTACATCCATCGATATTGCACTGGCCCTCCCAGTATTGCCTCGCGCGGAAAATGAACAACCAAGTGAACCATGACATCAAAGAAAGCTGGAGGAAAAATCTTCTCAAGCTTGCAAAGTACAAGTATGATTTGATCCTCTAGCTTTTGTAAATCTGTCACCTTCAACGTCTTTGAACACAGTTATTGGAAGAAATTTCCTAACTCAAACAAAGTCATACCAATTTCATTGTTAAGATACCCGCGCATCCCAACCAGATGTAGTCGTTGTACAAGCACATGACAATCATGACTTTTGAGGCCTGAGATTTTGCCACTGCCAGTATTCACGCAATTGGAGATGTTTGCTGCATAACCATGAGGATACTTGATTGATTTCAAAAAAGCACCAAAGCCTTTTCTTTCTTTCGTGGATAATGTGTACACAGCTGGAGGCTTCACAAATGACCTATCACCACGACTCTGTAGGTGTAACTCCTTTCGAATTTTTAAATTTGCTAAATCAATCCGTGCTTTTTCTGTGTCCTTGTTCTTCCCATCCACATTTAATAATGTCCCCATCAAATTGTCACAAATGTTCTTCTCTATGTGCATGACATCAAGGTTGTGTGGAAGCTTAAGCGTCTTCCAGTAAGGCAATTCAAACATAATGCTTCTCTTTGCCCAATTCAACACTGGATTTTCGTCCCTTTGTCTTTTCCTGTTATTTGGATGTTTTCCAAACGGCTTGTATGTCCTAGTCTGAATTTTCTCTAATAGTTGCTCCCCTGATAACTCCAACAGTCTGCACCTAACCTCACTTTGTCCGTTAAACAACTTGCTCCTTCGCCATCTGTGGTTCTTGGGCAAGTAATGACGAGCACCCATGTACCCTATCTTACTTGTTAACCTTTGTGATGATACGTCCTCATTACAAGTGAGACAAGCCAAATAACCTTTAGTAGTCCACCCGGACAGGTTACCATATGCAAGGAAGTCGTTGATTGTCCACATCAGTGCAGCATGCATTCTAAATGACTCTTCATTTTTCGCATCATAAGTTCACACCCCATCCCCCCATAACTCCTTCAACTCCTCAATCAATGGCCGTAAGTAAACATCGATATCTCTTCCAGGAGCCGATCGTCCAGGAATAAGCAATGACATCATGGTGGGAGGTTGTAAGGCATTAGGATAACGGGCCACATACTGTATGATGTGCTCATATTTCCGAATGGATTGAAACCATCAGTGGCGAGCCCTAGCCTTACATTTCGTGGATCCATGGCGAACATAGGATGTTGCCGATCAAAGTCTTTCCATGCCTCAGCATCAGCTGGATGCCTTAAGATTCCATCATCCACACGTTTCTCCTTGTGCCATCTCATATCTGTAGCGGTCTTTTTGGACATATACAATCTCTTCAATCTTGGTGTCAATGGAAAGTACCTCAAAATCTTGTGAGGGATCTTCTTACCCTTTCCGTTTTCCAACCTGTATCTAGGCTCTTCACACTTGGGGCAATTATCAAGATGTGCATGCTCCTTCCAAAATAGTGCACAATCATGCCTACAAGCATGAATGGGAACGTAGCCCAAACCCAAGTCACGTAAGAATCTTTTCGCACCATATATGGTCCATGGAACAGTCTCATCACACTCAGGTAGAGTGTCCTTGAAAACTTTCATAACCATATCAAATGACTTATTGCTCCACTTGTTGTACACCTTAATGTGAAGCATCTTAATAATAAATGACAACACTGTGAACCTTGTGCATTCCGGGTATAGTTTACATTGAGCATCTTCAAATAACTTATCAAAGTTTCGCCCATCTACACTCTCAAAAGTAGCAGGTAATTCATCCCCTTCATCATCCATTGCAAAACCCCTACAAACCTCTTCCAACATAGTAGGCGAATCATCCCCGTCATCCTGATCTTCCCCTACAATTTCACTATAAATGTCATGGTGACCTTCATTCGGTATGAGAGGTTCAACCACGGGAACAAGTTCCCCATGGTGCACCCAGGTCTTGTAAGAAATAGATATCCCTCTTCGAATCAAATGAATCCTAACAACGTGGATCATATGTTTTTTGTCGTTCAAGCAATCAATACATGGACACCGAAGCTTATCCTCCAAGCCTACATTTCTCATCGCAAATTCAATAAATGAATTCACCCTTTCTTGATACTCCCTACTACTTAATCTATTTTTTATTGTCATCCAACCCTTGTCTATTTGGGCGATCTGAAAGGTTAAATACAACCATTACAGTAATTAATCTACATAATATTACAGAAAGTGTTAGAAACTACATAATGAAATTTCCTAACAGTAACGGGAAGGAGAGATTCAAAAAAATGAAAATAAAATAAACTAAATTAAGCAACCTACAAGCATGCAATGCTTGCTACATTAACAATTGTTCAAATAGGGTTCTACAATTCCAAAAAAAATGAAACAATTTATGTTACACTTACGAAACAAAGCAATGAAAAGAACAATGCTAACATGGATACCGTTCATTTATATTTTTTAGCTACGTGATCAGCAAAAGAAAACTTTATTGAGGAATATATACAAAGTATGATAAGATCCTTCAATAAAGAGGAGCTTGGAGCTAGCAGAAGCTCCAAGCTTCAGTTGCTGAGAAACCAACAGACAAAGTGAAGCAACAAAACCAACAAACAAAACAGCAAATAGCCACAGTTGAGCACAAACAGATGAGATTCTTCAAAAAATCTACACAACTTTGTATGTATTTTTTTAGAGATTGTTTATATGACTCAAACCCATGCGACAAACACTTTTGAATTTTGAATTTGTAAGGAAGAGAAACAAATAAGAAAAAATATTTAATTTTTTTTCATTTACAAATAACTTAATAAATTTAAAATCCAAACACAAGTTGTTTGAGGGATAGCATTAAAATCACTATTGTAACTAGAAATGGTTCATTTAGAAAATAAATTCTTTGGACTTAATTTGAGCATTACGAATTCTAAAAGAAAATAAGCTCACAACCTAAAAAGCATTGCCAAACAACAAATGTTGTCAAAATATTTTCAGAACTGAAGCTAAAAAACTAGTTTGCTTTGGCTGTTTTGCCAAAAAACAAATGCTGTCAACAATGCGAAGCAACAAAACCATCAAACAAAACAGCCAATAGCTCAAAAAATAGACCAACAAAAGCCGCCCAACCAAAGCAGCCAGCTGTTTCAATGGAAGACTAATTCCATGACTAGTAGCATACTAACAGATCAGCAAGACTATTAGCAGACTACCAAACTATTAGCAAGACCAACAGCTTCAACCCTCAGACCCTTTTTCTAGCAGACTACTAGTCGCAGCAATCGATACAATTTTTTTTCTTTTCTTTTTTGGATCAACATAGCAGAGCAACACTACAGTAGGGGAAACAGATCAGCAGAACAGAATAGTGACAGATTGGACTGCCACAACAGTGGAAGAGTTTGCCAAGAAATATGGAGGTGAAGTAGAAGAAGAGGAAGAGGAGGAGGAAGGAGCTGGAGACACTGTAGAACAAACTACTAAGTGTTTCTTTGGAACAACACATTTTCCTTGTTGTGCCTTTGGCAAATGAGTCTATGACGATACCAATCTCTTTTACACAAGTGTTTATGCTTAAAAGATGCTTGCACAACCTCTTATTTTCCTGGTGTGCCCAAATGGACCATTGGCATTGCTCTTCTCAAAATAACTAATATGCCCTTTGGACTTTTAACATGTTTAAGTCAGTATGACAGTTAATCTAGTGGACTAGCTTAGTTGACTATTTTTACATACTTCTAATTACAAGATTAGGGAGTCAATTTATGCCAAAGACAAAGATTGATTATTTTTTTCTCTATTATTTATAAATTATGATTGTTTCAATTTAATAATATTATCTTCATAAATATAAATAATCACTTGCCAATTGAAAAAAAAACAAAAAAATCACCATCAAAGTTGCGACCCTATATGGAAAAATGCACACAGTAGTGAAAAAGGAGAGATTGTGAAATGATCAACTTCTCATGATAGAAAATTTTGTTAAATAATCAACTACTACATGACAACTGAATGAATAAAAAGTGTTGAAAAGAATTCAGATCTTTTATTTCCATAAGGAACTAAGTAAAAATTTGGAATTTTAGAACTTGCTAACATCCTTACAGATAAACACTATATATTTGAACTAAAAGCAAAATAAACAAACTAGCTGCTCCAAAAGATAAAGGAGCTACTCTACAATATTTGATTTATTGCTCAATAAATTTATTCCACAAGTCCATCCTTTCACACATGTATTCGACCCAACTTCACATTAAAAGTACATAAATATTTTCGTTAAAGCAAAACTCCTAATAAAAACAATAATAAAAAGAAGAGACCAGTACCTGGCCACAAGCATCCATAAACATGTGTGACACATATACTTTGTAAAAGAAAATATTAAAATATGGCCAACAAAAAGTTCTATTATTTTAAAATTAGTTCAATTACAAAACTATTAACATAGGTTAATTGCTTGTGGTTTTAGACAAGTTCATTTGGGGAGGGCTTATGGTATTCCTTGCCACTTAATGGAGAAAGGGCCTTTATAACAAGAGAGGGGTGCTTAGTCATTTTAGAGCTTTTCATTGGATTCTTCTCATGTTCTTCTTCTTCTTCTTCTTCTTCTTGTCTTTAACTTGGCCACTAAGGTTTCTTTCCTTTGAATCAAAAGGTCAAAAAACTAAGGTTTCTTTCCACATACCTCTGCTATTGTGCACTTTACGGACAAGCAACCAAATCTCTGTTTGGTTTGGCGCCCTAAACTCTAAAGTAATTAATCAACTCTACAGAAGTCAACACCTTTGAGTCCTGAAAACTTATTGAACAAATTTATGTGGTGGTTCAATTAAATATTTATTTGTTTAAATAGTAAGATTTATTATTTTTTTGTTGTTGGTGTTTCATAATATAATCAAAAAGCATCAATTGATAAATGAATAAGATTTTCTTTGCTGAAAAAAAAAAAAAATAGGAAATATGCTCCCCTAGCATATAAACTCGGATTAAAATTTCTACTAAGATAATTTTTTTTCTTAACCCCACATAAATCCCACTTAGGCAAGGTCTATAACATAATTAGTGGTTGTATAGTAGTACTTGGTAGTGTGAAGTTTGCAGGTTCAATTCGTACACTACAAGAATTTGATATATTTTTTGTTTACCTTACGTAAATAGCATAGAGATGAACAATAATTGCATACCTAAGAGGACATTGTCACGGTGTTAAGTATTTTTTTTATTATATTTTAATTGGTTTAGGATATTGTAAGGGATTGATAGATGTCTTTCATATTTATTATGGTATTTGAGAGGCAACATAAATGGCAATTTGTGATTAATGGAAGATGTGGCACCCTGTACATATTCCAAATAATTTTTCTGTGTACATAGATTCACTCTCTTTTTTCATTTTTTTTTTTATTTTTAAGTTTCTTCTTAACAATTCAACTCCAACTTGTAAAGGATGGTATATAGGGTAAGCCCTTGTAGAGCTTCTGGCTCATTTAAGGATACTTCAAAAATGGAATAAATCCAATTAACCAACTAACTAGTTTGGAAATCAAATTACAAATAACTTACAAAAGCACCCAAAAAAGTTTTATTCTCATTAAAAGTATATTTCCCAATATAAAAAGGGATACTTAAAGAAAGAGGAGAAATAAAACACTACAAGAACATCACAGATTGGGGGACTGAGCTTTGATCGAACGAAATCTTATTATCGACATAGCCTGACAACAATTGTAACAACTGGAAAATCTTTGTGGGTACTTCTTTTGGGCCATCAATGGTGATTATAATTGGAAAATCTCAACACAAGGTAACAGTAATTGACTAATTTCAATATTATAACGAATGCATATAGTATGTTAAAAAAAAGAACAGAAAAAAAGAAGAGTAATTTTTAAATTGAAATTGATTGATATGGTGGACTTGAATTGTGTGGTAGGCCCATGTGTCTCA